TATATATATAAAATATAGTATATAACAATACGAAAATTAATAATATACTGATAATTAATAATATTAATTAACTTATTGCAGGATATTAATCTCAGAATAAAATGGCCTAACGACATATATATAGATAACTCGATTAAGATTGGTGGTATAATCGTTTCTACGCGATCGGAAGATGTTGGAGCAAAGTACATTTGCAATATTGGTATGTAATAATCACAAATATAAACTTTATGAAATTTAATCCATTTAAAACAAATAATATATTAATATATATTTTAGGTGCTGGTGTAAACCTTTCCAATAATAAACCCACAACTTGCATCAATGATGCGATTCTGCAATATAATCAAAAATATGGTACAAAATTGGAAACGTTGTCTCATGAAAAGTACTTGGCATTGATATTCAATGAAATGGAAACTTTATTAGATATTCTACAGAACGGCAACACAGAACACTTCTATCAACTCTATTACAAATATTGGTTGCACACGTAAAGTCGTATTTTAAATAATTTTACTTTGTTAAAGTTAATATAATATTTTTACATTATCCATACATACATACATACATACATATATATATTTTTTAGGAATGCAAATGTGATGGTAACGAGAATAAATGGAAGAAGAGAAAGTGTCACAATCTTGGGTATCGATGATTATGGATATTTGTTAGTGCAAGGAAAAAAAGGCTTATTTTCTGTACAATCAGACGGAAATAGTTATGATCTTTTCAAGGGGCTAATAGTACCAAAATAAAGAATTATATGTTCGTTACTTGTTACCGCGAATTATATCTACATGTTAAAATGTGATAATAAATACACATGTATATATATATAACGTGCAATTTTATATCTCTATTCGTACACATGTATCATATATTACATACATATATTATACATATGTACATATATAATATGAAGTATATATATGTATATATGTGTAAGGTATGTACATATATATAAAACTTCATATTATATATGCATTTATGAATGCGTGTGTACACGTATTTGTAATATAGGACAAAAAATTATATATAAACATTTATATATATATATATATATATATATATATATAAACCGCAAAGAATAGAATTTAATTTAATTTATTT